CCAATGTAGCTCTTTTTGAGCAACATGTTTCTTGGGTGACTTGATGGCATGAGAACTAAAAGAAAGAATGAGGGAATATTAAAAGAGGAAATCTGCACTTCAGATTATCTTCCTGTATGGAAAAAAAAGACTTCCTCACTTTGATGTGGCACTTCTACTCCTCCAGATTTATCCTAAAAAATAAAAAATAATTAAATAAAATTAAGTGACTGGGAGATGGCTCAGGGGTAAAGTAGTTGTATCTGAGTTCGAATATCCAGAATCCACATTTTTAAAAAGCTCACCAGTGGGACTGGTAAAGTATGTGCTGTGCAAGCAAGAAGACCTCAGTTTGGATCCCAGAACCCACATAAAAGCCAAGTGTTATGACACATGTCTGTAACACATCTGTAACATGTCTGTAACACATCTGTAACCCCAGTGCTGGAAGCTGAGACAGGTGGATCCTGGGGGTCACTGGCTAGCCACTCTAGACAAAAAAGTGAGCCACCCTATCTCAAAAAATAAGGTGGGCAGCAGTGCAGGAGGACACAAGACAAAAGCCTCTGGACTCTATACATGCACACATGGACAAATACAAATCACACACACACACACACACACACACACACACACACACACACCATACACAGAAAATAAAATAATATTTTTACAAGAAATGAAAAAACATCTGGGCATGGTGGCACTTGCCTTTAATCCTAGCACTCAGAAGACAGAGGCAGGAAGATCTCTCTGTGTTTGAGGGCAACCTGGTCAACATACAGTCTAGACCAGCCAGAGCGACACGGTGAGACCTCTCCCCCACCCCAAAAAAAGAAAAGAAAGAAATGGGACAAGGAGAATCAGTACAGATCTTGTGCATATTAAATGAATCATAAGAATAACATAAATAGGGCTGGAGCAAGGGCTCAGCAGGGAAAATAGCCTGCTGCTTTTACACAGGACCCGGTTTCAGTTCTTAGCACCTGCATCAGGCAGCTCATGTGTCAATCAGCCAGTTTGATTCCCAGCACACATGCTGGATGGGTTACAACCCGTAATTCCAGCTTCGAGAGTTCTGACCCCCTTTTCTGTCCTCTGCACTCATGTGCACAAACCCACACACAGACACACATAAGTACATACAATTAAATATAAATAAGGTCTGAGTAGCTGTGCCCTCAGCTTTGAAAAACTAGAGGAAATGAGTCAGTTCACTGAAAGAACAGTCTAGCAAAACTGTTAAGAAGACAGGAGCAATCTCACATAGCCCGTCTCTGCCAGAAAACAGAATAAACAATAACTCTGAAACAGAAAGCATCAGGCACAGATGGGCCTGAGCATTAAGAAAGAAATTATGCTGATTCTCTACAAAATTTTCCAGAAGTTTAAAGCAGAGAGAATACTTCCTAATTCATTCCATGAGGCCATTATTACCTCCAAACCAAAACCAGACAAGACATTCCAAGAAAAGAGGACTACAGACCAATATATCTCATGAACACAGACAAGGAAATATTAGCAAATTCAATCTAACAATATATAAAAGAATTACAGAGCTCTGTGGCGATATGCCTGGAATCCCACCACTCCAGAAGGCAGGGGCAGGAGAATCACAAATTTGAGGTCAGTCTGGGTTATATAGTAAGACCCTACTCCCCACCCCAGCCCAACCAAAAAAAATGACCAGAGCTGGGAAGATGGTTTAGTGGGTAAGAACACTTACTCTGTAAATATTAAGTTCTGGGTTCAAATCCTCATCATCTAAGTAAAAAGCTGTACATGCCTGTTGCCCCAGATTTGGGGGTGGACACAGGGGGATCCTGGGAGATTTTGGACAAGCAGCCTACTCAAGCTTTGGCTTGGAGAGGTCAGAGGATGACTTCTGAGACTTGGTTCTCTCCATCGACAATGTGGGTTTGGGGGATTGAACCCAGGTCATCAGGCTCGCAGGAAAGTGCTCTTATCCATTGAGCCATATCTCCAATCCCAGAACCTAAAACAATTGACAAAAGTGTCTTGAAATTGATCACAGCAAAGTAACAGGATACAAATTATGATGTATGTAGAGTCAACTTTGATTGTCAACCTGACATAACCTAGAATCGCTTAGGAAGAAAATCTCAATGTGAGATCATCATCACTGGCTGTAGTCATGGCTGTGGAAGACTGTCTTAGCTACTTGATGTGGGAAGACCCAGCCCACTGTGGGCGGCACCATCCCTAGGCAGGAGGGTCCTGAACGGATAAGCGTGGAGACGCTGAACTGAGCACAAGCAAGAAGTTGAACTAGGGAGCAAGAATTCATTTCTCTCCATTTCTGTCTTGACTGTGGATGTGATGTGACTAACATCTTCAAGTTCCTACCATCTTGACTTCACCTCAGACTATAACCTGGAATTGTAAGCTGAACAAACCCTTTGTGCCCTAAGTTGCTTTTTGTCAGACTATTTTATCACAGCAACAGAAATGAAACTAGAATACAAAGTTAATAAATAAAAGTTAAGACTCTGCTTTCCTCTATACATCAGTGCATAGTGGGACTTGAAATTCAAAACATATCATTTATAGTAGTGCTCCCAAATGCAATACTTTATATATAAATCTAAAACTAATGTTAAGTATGAGGTAAACTACAAAACACTGGGGAGATAAAGAAAAATGTTCCATGTGAACGGTGAGACTTGATATTGTCAACACGTTGGGTCTTCCCAAGTTGATTTCCTTTTGACACTAGACATAATCAAGATGCCCTGAAGTTATTTTATGGATATAAACAAATGCTATAGACACTATAATCATAGGACTCAGAGCAGCCAATTCAGTATTAAACAATGAAGTCAGAGGTCGAATACTGCTGGACTTCAGGACTCCTGAAAATTTACAGTAAGCAAGAGAGAGGGTGCTTGTATGAGAATAATTCAGATCAATGGGACAGAACAGAGAGCTCAAGAGTAGGTTCACATAAATTCAGTCAATTGATCTTTGAAAAAGGGACAAAGAAACACAGTGGAATAAACACAGTTTTTATCAGCTTAGATACCAGAAAAACTGGACATCTTGAAGCTGACCTTAAACCCCTCACAGACATGAACTCAACATGGATCACAGACCTAAGTATAAAGGACCACTCTACAAACTCCTGGAGACAGTGGAGGAGAAAGCCTAGGTGGCCTTGGATATGGCAGTGAGCACCAAAGGGACAGCCTGTGAAAGATGCAATTGATAATTGGGGCTTATTAGATTAAATTCTGTCCCACAGGTGAACTAACAGAATGAGAAAACAAGGCACAGACTGGGGAACAGGTCTGTGGAGGACAGGGAGCATTGACAGATGAAGCAAAGAACTCTCAAGACTCAGCAATAATATAAACCAAAGGTTTGTTTAAAAAATGGACAAAGCCAGCAGTGGTCCCAGCACTTGGGAGGCAGAGGCAGGCAGATCTCTGTGAGTTTGAGGCCAGCCTGGTCTACAAATCAAGTTCCAGGACAGCCAGGGCTGTTACACAGAGAAATCCTGTCTTGAAAAACCAAAAAGTAAATAAAAATAAAAACAGAAAATGGAAAAAGACCTGAACAAGTACTGTGCCAAAGAAATAGAGAGCAAGCAAGTGTATGAAAGGGGTATTCAATACCCTTTGAATTTAGGGAATTACAAATGATAACACATAGCATTGCTATGTTCAGTTCTGTTGGCCGTGATAATATTCCCTGATGAAAAGCAACTCAGGAAGGGAGAAAGGGGCTTAGCTCACAGTATCAGACTCCTCCAAGAGTGCAGGAGTTTCAGACAGCTAGTCACACCACCCCCACAGTCAGGGGTAGAGAGAGAATGAATGCATACATGCCTGCCCTCTTGTGCGATTGTTTGTAGCTTCCCATTTCCAGCTCCAATTTTATTTTATTTATTTTTGGTTTTTCAAGACAGGGTTTCTCTGGGTAGCCTTGGGTGTCTTGGAACTCACTCTGTAGACCAGGATGGCCTCAAACACAAAGATCCACCTGCCTCTGCCTCCCAAGTGCTGGGACTTAAGGCATCACCACCACCACTCTCAAGATGTAGGCTTCTTGATGAGAGATGTATTCCTCATCCCAATAAGGCAAAAGGAACTGCTCCTGGACCTGTATGTGTGAGTCACTCAAGGCCCGGGGGTCTTGGTGTCTGGCAGTTTAAAAATACAAACAGTAGCATTTGGTAGCACACTGAGTCATTCAACAAGCTGTGTGTGTGTGTGTGTGTGTGTGTGTGTGTGTGTGTGTGTGTGTGTGTATGTGTTTGTGGTGTGTGTGTGTGTGTGTGTGTGTTTCCTCCAGTTAGGCATTCTGCCAGGCCATGAGTTAAATGAGGTTGCCCCTGGGACCCTGGTTCTGGCTATATGTGGTACTCGGGGAACAGAACAGGGTGTCATGGTAGGAGGGTTCTCTCTGCAGTGTTTTGTTTTCTTCTCACAGTCTGGGAAAGTTCCATATCATTTGTATATCCATTACTTGACATGATGTTGGGGTGGGGTACCTGATGGGATGGGTTTCTTTTGTCTCACAGCCTGAGGGTACAGTCCATATGTGGTAAAGGGCTCAAGGCTCCTCATCGCAGTCAGTTAGCTAGGCTTTCCATCTCTCTATCTGTCTCTCTCTCTCTCTCTCTCTCTCTCTCTCTCTCTCTCTCTGTGTGTGTGTGTGTGTGTGTGTGTTTCTCTCTTCTATGCAGTCCTGACTATCTTGGAACTCGATATGTAGACCAGGCTGGCTTCAAACCCACAGAGACCCTCCTGCCTCTGCCTCCCAAGCCCTGGGATGAAAGGTGTGTGCCACCACACCCCTCTCCTTTGTATTCATTCCTGGACCACAGCTCAGTAAATGGTGCCACCTACATTAAAGTCCTCCAACCCAGTTAACCCAACCTAGAAAATCCCACATAGACATGCCCAGAGATACATTTCCATAGTGATTCTAGATCCTGTCTAGTTGACAAGAGTAACCACCGCAGCTTGGAGACGTTGACTGTTGTTCCTTGTCCTCAGAGAGGCCATGTGGAGACCCACCATCCTTCCCACACACCATCCTCCAGGGTCGCACTGGCTTGGAGATGGGGGATGAACTGCTGTATGTGTGTGCACCAGGCTCTGTCACAGGCCATCAAGAAACTGCCTTCACCTTGCTGTGTAACAGCTGTGGGGAGTGGTATGGACTGGTCCAAGCCTGCGGGAAAGGTAAGCACCACTTGCCTATGTGGAGCCCAAAATCACACCTGTACTCTTCATCTTCCTGCTGGAGAAGAGTTAACAATGCCCTGCCCTCTTCTCTGAGGAGAGACTTGACTCAGGCTGTAAAAGTTTCTACTCTGTTATGTCTTATGGGTGCTTTGCCTGTGTATATATGTCAACCCAGAGCTCACCAGTATAAACAGAGATAGTCTTGCTACCCAGCTTGCTCTGTCTCCACCTTCTGAGGTTTAAATTAAATTATGCATAGGTCACTACACCCACCCAGCCGTTAGGGGAGATTCCAGGGATCTTAACTCCGGTCCTCATGCTTGTACATTGAGTCACCTCCCAAGCCCTGCTGCAGGATTATATTTAGGCCAGTTTGTCCTCAAATGTCTTGTAGATCGTGAGGGAATTAGGAATCACTGGAGCACCTTTAGGATGCTGCAATCCACCCCCATGGTCTAAAGTTTTGGTTCATTGTATGTCTCCACTGCTAATTACTATCCATAGCATGGTACAGCCCAGGATGTCTGTCAGTCTGCCAGAGGGGACATTTGGCTTATTTTTGTTTTGTGGCTGTCAGGAGCTGTCTACCATGGTGATTGTCACCCATGTCATTTGGTTCTCGGGAAGTGTCTTGTCATTGGCTCCTAGAAGCAGGACTCTGCCTTAAAGATGTGCCTGTCCAGCTCAAGGTCGCTCCCCAAGTGTTGTCTAGGCCAGTCTGGTCAGTTGGCCCTCTGCCATTCCTGTGGGGAGTCATGGCGGCAGGAGCAGGGAGCATCTGGTCACATGACATCCACAGTCAGGAAGCAGAGCAGATGCTCAGCTTACCTTTCTCTTTTCATGCAGCTGAGGACCCCGCCCATGGAGTGTCACCTCCCACTTTTAGGGTGAGTCTTCTCACCCCAATTAGCCTCAAACAGGAGTTTCTCACTGGCATGGCCAAAGGTTTGTCTCTCTGTGGTTCTAGATCCTGTGAGGCAGACAATCAACAGCACCCATCACACCGTCCCGCTGGAAGTGTCTGATAGCTCACATTCCATTTTCCCAGCATTTGGGAATCAGGTCAAAATATTCTTTTCACCAACGGTAGTGAAGTCATGACCTGTCAATCCAGTGTTATACTTTCCTCATGTCAGTGGTCAGATGAAATACTTTGTCAAGTTTTCTAATTGCTTAGAAATGGTCATATGTTTCTGTGTGTGATGGCAGCGGCACACACCTTTGATCCCAGCCCTTGGGAGGCGGAGCCAGGGGGATCTCTAAGTCTGAAGCCAGTCTGGTCTACAGAGTGAGTTTCAGGACAGCCAAGCCTGTTACACAGAGAAACACTGTCTTGAAAAAAAAAAAAAAGGAAGGAAGGAATGTTTATTTACATACCATAGGTTTTTTTGTGGGATATTCGTAATTAATATGTTATAATTATTTTCCCAGCCTGGGAGTTATATCTCATTCATAAAGTACTTATCCAGCCTGTGTGAAGATCTGGGTTTAATTTCCAGCAGCACAAACATACAGACATGCACAGACACACACAAACAGACACACACACATACACATGCATATACACACACATACATGCAACCAAATTAAACTGTATTTTTGTTTGTTTTTCATTACTATGAGTGTGAGAGTGTGTGTGTGTGAGTGTGTGTGAGTATGAGTGTGTGAGTGTGTGTGATTATGTGAGTATGTGAGTGTGAGTGTGTGTGTGAGTATGTGAGTGTGTGTGTGTGTGAGTGTGAGAGGGTGTGTGTGTGAGTATGAGTGTGAGTGTGTGAGTATGTGAGTGTGTGTGACTATGTGTGTGCGTGTGAGTATGTGAGTGTGTGTGTGAGTGTGTGTGTGTGAGTGTGTACAAGTGCACACATGCTGTGCCATGCAAAGGATAGCCGGCAGAAGTCAGTTGTCTCCTCTACCATGTGGTCCTGAGGATCACACTCAGATGCTCAGGCTTGTGCCAGACCAGGACCTCTTCCGTCCACAAAGACATCTCTCCTACCTGTTTCTTTTCTTTTCTATGTTTCTTTTAGACAGGGTTTCTCTGTGTAGCTCTGTCTGACCTGGACCTCACTCTCTAGACCAGGCTGGCCTGGAACTCAGAGATCTGCCTGCCTCTGCCTCCCAAGTGCTGTAATTAAAGGCGTGTGCCACCATGCCCAGAGCTTGTTTTTGTTTTGTTTTGTTTTTCTTGAGACAGTCCTGATACAGTCTAGGGGTCTTAATGGAGTTTGTTTTCTCTCCCAGTTAAAGAACTAAAAGGCAGGAGTTTATACAGTGCTGGGGCAAGGACCCAGGCCTTCAAGAATGTTAAGCAAGCACTGTACTCACCCATAAACACAGAATTGTTAAAAATAAAGATTCTGTCCCAGTCTGTGGCTTAACCCAGTCACTCTCACGAGCACATTTTAATGAATGGAGTTTTGGGTGTTGTTTTTAAAATCCATTTTATAACCTTCCAGACCAGAGTGGGTACCTTTAGGGTGGTCTAGCCATAGACTAGTTGCAAACTCTGTGGACTATTATAAACTTTTTGGTATTAGATAAATAAATGAATTTTATAAAATAAAATAAAAATCCCACTATAAATACACCTATTTTAAAATTCCCTGCGAAATTATTCTGGAAGCTTCTACAGCCATTATCTCCACTTGCTTATTAGTTCCTAGTAACTACTGTGACACAGACAGGCAGGTGCTGGAGGGTGCTGCCCAGCCATGGTCTAGGCCACCCTCACCCAGACCCTAGTGTTTTCCAGAGCGCTGAAGTCGCACCTTCCTGTGAGCCACACCCAGCTACCAAATGGGTGGTTTACTGGCCCAGGGAGGTTGAGAACTAAATGCAGGTTTTGTGTGTTCTGGAAGGTGTTTATTTTCTCACTGTTGTGAGGAGTCAGAGCTTTCAACTGATTCTGGCTTCTACACTTGGCTGGGTAGACAGACAGTACCGTTCTCCTTGCTTGGAAGATTTGGCATTTAAAATGTCTGTGTCCTAGGAAGAAAGAGTGTGTGTGTGTGTGTGTGTGTGTGTGTGTGTGTGTGTGTGCAGAATACCTTCACCATCATTGTCATGGTGGCACACCCCTGTAATCCCAGCACTTGGGAGGGGGGACAAGAAGAGAGGGACTTGGTCATTCTTGACTGAACAGCAAGTTCAAGACCAGCCTGGGATACATGAAAATACGTCTGAAAAAGGAACAGAAAAGGACTGGGGATGTTGCTCAGTTGGTAGAGTGCTTTCCTAGCACGTGTGAGGTCGAGGATTAGCTCCTTAGCACCACACACTGTGTGTGCATGGTGACTCTGACACACCTGTGATCTGAGCAGTCTGGAGGTGAAGGCGGAGGAACCTGAGTTCACTGCTATTCTCAGTTGCAGAGTGAGTTCTAGGGCAGCCTGGGAAACATGAGATTTTTTATTTTTTATTTTTTTGAGGGTTGGGAAAGATTGTTTTGGAAGGAAGGAAGAAGGGTGGGGAGAGAATGGGGAGGAGACAAGGGATTAGACAAGCTTAGGGCCAGCTACTCTCCTAACACTACAGACATAAAGAAAACATAATTGGAATCTATGGAACTTGGGGATGGGGGAACTTACTCATTTGATAGGGTGCAAGTAAACTGTATTTGAAGCCCTAGGTTTGGTCCCTGGCACCATACAAACTGTGCGTGGTAGCACACACCTGTCACCCCAGGACTTGGGGGATGGAGGAAAGAGGCTCAAAACCTCAAGGTCATCTCTCTGCTACACAGCAAGTCAGGGGACAGCTTGAGCTACAAGAGACAGTCTTAAGACAACAGGTATACATATGGAACTATGGGGGGGCAGAGTAGAAGGTCCTCCTGGCCTTTGGAGTCTTGGGGCTCACCATGGAGGTGAGGGCTAAAGGGTTAGTCTCCAGGTTTACGCTCCCCCTTTCTTGCCATGGCCATTCTCTCCCACTCCGGTCATAACATCTTTTGGAGGCAGGGGCAGAGGCCACAGAACCACTTTGTCCTGGGGTCAGGCGACAGCATTGGAACTGAAGGACACATGAAACAAGGATGGAGAGGGGAGGGTGTGAGCCAAGGGAACCACAGAGGCAGGTTAGGAGGTCAACAGTAGGGTCACGTGACCGGGATGGGACCTGCTCTCATTGCACAGTGGCCCAGAAAGAAAATGGCCTTGAAGAAGATCATAGGCTTGGCATAGTAAGAACCTATAGAAACCAGACCCAGCATGGAAATCGGAAGCACCCTAATCCAGGAGCAGAGCACTGAGGTTTTCTGTAATTGGAGCAACAACCAGTTATAGCCAGATACTGAGCAAAGGAGAGAGGCATGCCAGATACTGCTGCCAACCTGGGAATGGAAACCAAGATGAGTGGATTTGGACAGGAAGAGTGGAAGACTGAATAGCTAGACCCAGGCCAGGGCACTAAAGCCCAACACTAGAAAATACCAGCATGTGAGGGAGAGCATAGTAGGCTGGTTAGCATAGTGGTCAATGCTTGCAGGATCCCAGGACACCTGGTCTAACTAAGTCTAGGAGATAAATAGTTCTCATTCTTTCAGGACAGAGAGTTAAGACTCAGGAAAGCTGAGAGAAGTGTTCTGTCTTCAGCTCTCTTCAAATCCTTCTATCATTTAAATATCTTAAATGAGCATTCTTTAAAATGACAAGAGTTAGCCATGATGAGATGGCTCAGGCCACCAAGCCTGAGAACTTGAGTTTGATCCTAAGAACTCACATGGTAGAAACACAGAACCAACTCCCAAATGTCCTCTGACCTCCACACTTGCAGTCACACACAGCACATATGCGCACAAAAGAAAACGTTTTTACAAAATCAAACAAGCAAAACAAGCTGTCAACACCCCTTGGACAGCCTGCTATACTTGCCAGCTACACATGGTGTCTTCTCCAGTCTCCTCCATGAGAATCAAGGATTAAAATGGGTCAGTGGTGGCCAGAGCTCGGGAGGACCCAGGGAAAGAATGGTCCCTCGGTCCCCTTCCTCATTCC